TGGGGGGGGGGGGGTAGATAGAAAGAAGATAGATACAGAGAGAAACCCAACAATCATATGACCCCCTATGAGCAGCACTTTGGCGACAGTGGGAAGGAAAAACTCCCTTTTAACAGGAAGAAACCTCCAGCAGAACCAGGCTCAGGGAGGGGCGGGCCATCTGCTGCGACCGGTTGGGGTAGAGGCAAGGAAAAGGATAAAGACATGTGTGAACAGAGAGCCAGAGGTTAATACAAGTACCATTCAGTCAGAGAGGTCTAGTTAAACATAGAGGGTGAAGAGAAACACTCCAGTGCATCATGGGAATCCCCCGCAGCAATAGGCTGGGCATCACACTGTGCTCTTTTTGGCCCATTTTGAGCCGATTTTTCAGTCGTGCGACCGTTTTGGGGGTCGTCCCGAGTTTGGCCTTAATCGTGTGTCGTGCATCGTCTACATAACGAGGGTAACGAGAAGCGATTAAAACCTCACGACCAGCTCCCGATCATCAATCGTTTGCTCGCAAAAAAACCAAACCTGTTTGAAATCCTGCCGGTCGTCCTGAGGGTGTCACCGCAGCGTCTCACACCCGCACGCAGCAAACGCAGAAATGAGAGCGAAGAGACGGAGTCGAACGGCGGTGCGGGTGTGATCGGACACAAGCGATGGAGGCACAAACTTCTCACCCACTGCGAGTCAATCGTACAGTTTGAGCAGGAGCTGAATAACGCGACTGAAAGAAATCGCACAGTGTATGCCCAGCTTATTGCAGCATGGAGGATTCAGGGTCACCTGAGTAGGCCATCAGCCTACTAAAAGGATACTGAAGAAACCCGTCGAAATAGTGTTAGTCTTCATCACTGCTGCTGCTGGACTCATTTGAACACCTCCGAAGTTTGCAAACAGGCAAGTATTCCTCTTCTTCCTCAAAGTCCTCTCGGGAACGCTTCCTCGAGCCTCCAGCTTCATGGTTGTCAAGCTCTTCGTGTGCATCTTCAAAAAGTCCATCACTGCTGCTCTCAGAGTGGTCGCACACAGTTGAGCTGGTCCCCGAATCAGAGTTTGCAAGCCTGGATTTTTTGCTATTACGCTCTTCTTCGTCTACATCTTCCTCTCTGGACCTTTTCGTGGATCCACCAGGCTGCGGTTCTTCTTCTGTTACCTGCTGAGGACAGCCCTCGCTATCAGTGTCACAAGCAGAGAAGAGTCAGAGTCGTCATCAGAAAACTCCTCGCTCCATCTGATTCTTTTGTTTGGTTCCACATCTGCTTCATCCATCTCTCTAGACCTCCTCCTGGATACACCTGGCTGAGGATCCTCTTCTGGGATGTACTGGTGAACATCCTCACAGTCTTCAAATGCCTCATCAGAATCCTCATTTTCAATGCCACCAACAACAACAGCATTATGATCCTCGTGCTGTTCATTGTTGTCAGCATTGGCATTATTGTCCCTCACATTCATATTTTGAATGTTGACATTATTGTCATTGGCATTGTGACGGTAATTAACATATTGTTCCACTAATACATCTATTAGCTCATTCAGCATCCAAAACATATCATTGAGAAGAAAATAAAGATCGATCTGGAAGCCCCGGAGTCCATGAATAGGCTCGAAGTGTCCATTAACTGTCCATTAGCATGGTTCCTGATCTCCATTTGGCAACCTTTGTGGGTTAACCTGTTCGGCCTGCAAGATCATTAAATCTTTTAATTAACATCCATAACTATCTGCTGAAAATCTGTTTTTCATCAATTTCAAGACTGAGCACATGTGCTTACCGTTTTGGTTATTTTGTGGTCCGTCTCCACTTGCACTCATTTTGACTACAAGGAACACAAAACAACAATGATCACTAAACCTCAACTAGAATGTTCAGAGAATTTGCTTTTTTTGTGATGACTTTCAGGCTGCGTCCAAACGTACAGCGGCTATGTTTGAAAACGGACGTTTTTCCTTTTTCGTTTAAAAAAAAATATCTTCTGTCCTCTTAATCTCTTCTTTACAACCCCTCCCCCCCATTTTCATTTCCTCCATCATCTCTCTACCCTGTGTTCACTTTTGACAACACAGGGTAGAGAGATGATAATAAAATGATAACAATAAACACAATTGGCTACATTTTACATGTGTCGGATCAATGTCTTCATTTAAGTCCGTCTTTGTGTATAATATGCATACTTTACAGACATTGTTTGACTTGTTATCATTCAAGATCTGATGGAGACGTTGGAGCTGTGCATGTTTAATGCTACGTTTTGATCAAGAAATGAACTTGTAGCATAAATGTCTACTCATCTGTGATTGTATTAATCATTTCAGCTTCATAAATCAAACTGACTCAATCACCAAAACCAAACAGGGCTCACACAGTAGTGCGTCCTTGACACAGCTGGGTCAGATAACTCTAGTGAGAACGCGTTTGTGTACCATCACAGACTAACACATGTACATTATCTCATCAGCAGAGGCTTCTATAATCTTACATTTCATGGCATTTGCATTCTACAAGCTTATTTATTGAGAAGTCTCAATAACAGCATGTTTGTGCAGGTGCTGCTTTGTTGCACAGACACTAACTCACACCAAAATTCCCCCTTTTCACAAAATAAGCATTCTGCTTCTCTTATCCTAAAGCGTCTTTAATCTTCCTTCAAATGCCATTCAGTATTACTTGATTCCACAAATTTAAACAACACTCTAATACCAAGTACGCCTGTAAAGATTCCCTAAAATGTTGGAAGTGTTTAGACATAAAATTCACGGAGGTTAAGGTAAGCTGAGAGAGAACAAGGGGTTTGGGGAAAACAACAATACTGAGGCCAGAAATGCAAAAGCATGTCTTTTTCTGGATTCATGTTCAAGGTGGGTATCGGTTTTCACAGGGTCTTCAAAACCCACAACAAACACACCTGTCGAGTTTCCAAGTGACAACAAAGAGCCATTTCAAATCTCAAAGCGGCTAAAAACCGCACACACCCACATTCCAAGCGGAGGATCGTTTTTTTCAGCTGGATGTTCGACCTGCCTTTCTGCCATTTCCACCCTTAAACGTAACTCCTCAGGTCATGACAGATAAGCAATCACATTCAAATGTCCTGGGAATATTACAAAACATGTATCTCATTGCCTCCTCTCTGTGTTGACCCATCTTCTGTTCATTCGCATTTGTGCTCCTCAGAAGAAGAAAACAAAACAAACAAAGTTTTTAGAGCCAGCCTCCACATACCTCTATTGATGATCCTTCTCGTATTTTTGGACCTCAACTGGATCTTTGAAATCCTCCCAGTGAAGTCACTGGGATCCAACTTATCCACTAACAGACAGCCGATACGGTCCAGAACGATCCCATCCTGGCCTTCACTCTGGTTCACCCCCTGGTCCTGATTTTGGTTCAGACAGTGGCCACTGCAATGATCTGAAGCATTGCTTTCAGCCCCAAGGCTGGTGGTG